TTTCCAAGGTTAGGCGGCTGGTTATGGGGAAGGAGCTGCTGAGGCTCTGCTGGCCCTGCCAAATGCACTCCGACCTTTTGCTGAACCTTGGCACCTGAAAGGCAATCAGCCTCCCTTACCCCCTGGAAGATTCCCATCTCTTATCTCCCAGAGGGTCTGTATATACCATTTTACTTCCCCTACATGCTCAGGGTCAATTTCTTTTGCACTCTGCAGGGCACATCTATACTTGTCACCCTCACTCTTCCCTTTTTATATTCCCTTTTTATATCGGTTTCTTATTTTACAATAAAACTTTGCTTCCACCTGTGTGTTTGAGGAGTGGGTGCCAACACAGACTGCCTGGGCCCCCAGGTGTAGGGATGTGTAGGAGTTGAAGTTGAGAGGCAGCCACCTGAGTCACTAGGCAGTGTGGGCTGGGGCGGGGGCAGCACCCACATTCCAGGAGGGGAACAAAGGCTGGGGACTGGGTCACTCTGTGGTCTGCATGACAACAAGGGAGAGGGTGACTCCATTCATAACTCGGGAACCAACTGTCCCTCCTCCCCCGCCCTGCCAGAGCTGACAAAGTTCTTGCCCACCCCTCCTTCTAGGGTTGGGCTGCTGTCCCTGGGCAGCCTCTCAACAAGGATTAGAGGATTTAAATGTCTGATTTAGCAAGCCTGAGTCTCTGGGGTGGCCATCTGCTCCAGGAAGGGCAGGGTACCTGTATTCCCAAGGAGAAAGGGGTGGGTGCTGCTGTATGGACAGATGCCAATGGGAAGTCCACCAGCTGGGGTCCCAGGAAACTGGGGGCAGCTAAGGTAAGGGCTGGGGCCTTCCCAGCATCCCCTCATCCTGGGCCATATGCCAGGAGGGTGAATGAATTGAGGCTTTACACTGTGCCAGGAAAACCTTTGAAAGGGTTTCTTGGGGTAGGGAGGGAAGTTAGGGTTGGGGAGCCCAGCACCCCCTGCCCAACCAGTTCCTTAGTGTTGCTGCCTCCCAGGGAGGGGGCTAGGGCTGGGCTCCCCCATCCCCTGCTACTGTCTAAGCCCCTGCCTACGGGAATGGCTAGTCAGTAGGCACATTTCTTGGCCTGCTGCCTTTCACAGTGGTAGAATGCCAGGGACTTTGGGGCCACTGTCCTCAGCCTATCAACTAGGCTTAAAGTGCCAGTGGGAGCCCTCTGCCCTGCCCCAAGGTCCCAGACAGCTGAGACCAACTTTGTTCTTGCTCACTAGAGAAGGCCAAATGTTCCATGAGGCCCAGATCCATCTCCTTCAGAGCCTTCCCTTTCCCCGTTGACTTTGCTGGGTGGAGATGGAACTCAGGGCCACATTTGCTAAATGAGTGCTCTACCACTGAAACACACCCCAGCCCAGAGACCTTGACTCATCTCTCCAGCCACTGGACAAACCAGAGCTCTTGTAACTCAGTTGCTGTTGTTCTTACAGAACACTTAAAAGCTCCCTTCTTTTTAAAACAATTTACTCTGTTTTATTGGGATATAATTGACCCCCCAAAAAAATTGTATATTAGGGGCCAGGGATTTAGCTCAGTGGCACCACACCTGCCTCAGAAAGCACAAGGTCCTGAGTTCGATCTCTGGTACCAAAAAAAAAAAAAAAAGTTTTATGGAATTAAGGGATAATAGGAAGGTTTTTTATATGTTTGGTGAGTCAGTCTTTAAAGTCTATGCACTCAGGCAGGGGATTTAGCTCAGTGGTTCTGCAGCCTGCCTCACAGGCACAAGGACCTGAGTTCGATCTCTGGTAACAAAAAAAAAAAAAAAAAAGTTATATGTATTTAGGGTATATAGTGAGATGATATTGTATAAACCAGGCATACCAGTAGTACCAGCTATTTGGGAGCCAGAAGCAGAAGTATTCGAGAAGCTGAGACAGGAGGATCCCCAGGAGTTTGAGGCTAGTCTGGGGGCACATAGCAAAACACTGTCGGAGGGGTGCTGGGTGCATGCCTGTAGTTCCAATGCTGTGGGAGGCTGAAGTAGGATCACAAGTTCAAGTCCAGCCAGGCTGGGATGTAGCTGAACTCCCAGCACTAAGAGGCTGAGGCAGGAGGAACGTGAAATTTTCAGGCCACCCTGGGCTACATAACGAGTTCAAGACCAGCCTGAACTACATGCTGAGACCTTGTCTTAAATAACCCACACTAGGATACATTTCTGAATTTAAAACAATATTATGCTATACCTATTTATTCCGGGAACACAGTTGGTTTAATAGCAAAGAATCTATCAATGTAATTATATTAATAAAGAAGAAAAATTATATGATCATGTCAATATGCTGAAAGGAATTTGATTAAGTTTTAGCAGTAGGGGCTGGGGATTTAGCAGTGATTCCTTTTTCTTTCTTTTTTTTTTTTAAGGCCTAATTAAAAGTTATTGTTGCAGGGCCAGGGATATAGCTGAGTGGCACCGCACCTGCTTGGCAAATACAAAGTCCTGAGTTCAAGTCCCAGTACTGGGAAGAAAAAAAAAAAGTTATTGCTATGACAGGAGGATTGCCAAGAGTTAGAAGCCAGCCTGGGCTACATAGTGAGACCCTGTTTCAAAAAATAAAAATAAGGGCTGGGGATTTAGCTCAGTGGTTCCACCAGCTGCCTCACAAGTGCATGGACCCGAGTTCAATCCCCAGTGCCAAAAAATAAACAAAATAAAACTTAAAAACAGTAATAAATTGATACTATCCTAAATAAACACTAAGAATTTTAATTTAAATGAATATAGGGATGTCCACTAATATTGGTTTTAGTACATTCAGGAGAACTTAAAAGATTAATTACTGACTTTAAAAAATCTCTGTGTCAGGCTGGGGTTTTAGCTCAGCGGCATCGCTCCTGCCTCCCAAGTGCAAGGTCCTGAGTTCTATCCCAAGTACAAAAAACAAAAAACAAAACTCTGTGCCTCTTTTTTTGCAGGCAAAATGGGAAGGAGGAGGGTACTAGGGATTGATGTCCTCCCAACTGCTAAACACACTCTGCACCATTGAGTTACATCCCCCAGCCAAAGTTATAAATTGACTGAGGAGAAAAGTGCTCAAGAATAGCCAGTAGTTGTTTAAAAAAAGAAAATGGAAGAGCCAGGTGTAGTGGCACACGCTTGTAATCCCAGATCCCTGAGTGGCTGAGGCAGGATGATAAAACATTCCAGCTCATTCGGGGCAATTTATCAACCTTAGTGAAGGCCTTGGGTTCAGTCCCCAGTAGTCAACCAAAAGAAAAATAAAGCTGGCACAATTGGAAAAATTAAGTAAAATTAGATGCTGAATTTATAGCACACATATTTTAAAAAATGAACCACATGAATTGAAGTAAAAATTAAAATCAAGTTTAAATCTCACTGAGGCAGAATTTCAAATTCAAGGCGAGCCTAGACAACACAGTAAGACCCTATCTCAACCCAGTGCTCCAAGAGACTGGGGTAGAAGGAGCAAAAAAGTTCAAGCCCAACCTGGACAATTTAGCAACTTAGTGAGACTTTGTCTCAAAAAGAGGGGTCGGGGGAGCTGGAGATGTGGTTCAGTGCAAAGGTCCTGGGTTCAACTCCCAATACCTTCAATAAAAAAAGACAAAATATTTCGCAGCCATCAAAAATGACTTAGCAGCGGGGCGTCGTGGCACACACCTGTAATCCAGCACTTGGAAGGCTGAGGCAGGAGGATCACTGTGAGTTTGAGGCCAGCCTGGGCTACATAGTGAGTTCCAGGTCAGTCTCAACTACATAGTGAGACCCTGTTTCAAAAAACAAAAAACAAACAAAAAAAATGACAGCACATTACAAGGTGAAGTACTGGTACATGGAATTTATAGAGCAAAGATGCACAAATTTGTGCATAATATCCAATTTTGATATAATAGTGACCAAAACTTAAGGGTCCTTATATATAGGATATGTATGTGTGTGTCTATTAGGCATTAATCATAATATTGTATATGCACATGTAATAAAATTACTTGTCAAAGCAAATACTAACTCACTGCAATAGCAAAAAGTAAAAACTAAACCCTTAAAATGTTAATGCGCTATCAACATATTCTCTTCCCTGTATATCACAATTTTATTATTTTTTCCTATGCTTGTATATTAACATAAAATTAGAACCCTAAAGGTCCTAATTTCCTTGTTTTGAAGTCTGTTTCTCCTAGTCCACTTTCCTGGCTCTAAGCATTTGTGGATACAATTCTCTCCCAAATGACCCCATCTTTTAAAACCCAGCTTAAACGCTGCCTCCTTTAAGAAGCATCCTAGCCAGGTGAGGTGGCACAAGCCTGTAATCCTGGCACTGGAAAGCTGAGGTAGGAAGATTGCAAGTTTGAGTCCCACCTGGGCAACTTAGCAAGACCTTGTCTCAAAATTTTAAAGAGCTGGAGGTCAGTGGTAAAGTCTTCTGGGTTCAATTCCTGGTACTGGAAGGAAAAAGGTGGGGGGGAACCTTTCCTTAGAAGCTCCCAACAGGAAGTATGGATAACCCTGAATTTTATTATCACCAGCTCTCTCCCCTTCATGGAAGCATAACTGCATCTACCTTGTATGATGGTGTTCTGTGTGTTCCTCACCTGTCCCATTGAACTGGGGAAGCACCTTGGGGCAAGAACTCTCTTTCATAAGTATACCTTCATGACGCCTAGAATGCACACACGTAGGCACTTTATAAGTCTCAATGTACAAAGGTATGTAGGCTTCCTGCCTCTCTTGTATGCAGTGATGTTAAGATAGTGTGTATTAAATTAGTTGAGATGGAGTGGTTGGATGCTTGGACGGTGGAAAAGATCAAAGTTGGAGAGCAACCCTTCAAGGCTGAGTAGCCTCTAGATCATCCAAATCCACCCTGCACCCGATTCCTTGGGCTCCTCCAAATGCTCAGAAAACACCCGCACACAGGGCTCTGTGATATATATTTATATTTTTTTTTAAATATATATAGATATATTTATATATATATATATATATATAATTACTCTCATTTCATTGTACTTTATCTTTTTTTTTCAGATCTGACACAGGTATTAAATAACTGCAGAGAGACCACTGGGGAGAGGGCAGTGCAGGAAAACATGGGGATCCAGAAGGAAGAGAAATAGATCCAGCAAGAAGAAAAAGGAAAGGTTCCATTAGTAGGTGGAATGTGGATGCTGCAGCACTAATAAAGAAAAAGGAGTTGCAGAGAATGAGGAAGAGAAGGGAAACGAGAAAAGAAAGAGTTAAAATGCTTCTGTAACTAAAGAATACTCAGAGCAGGAGGCCCCTCATTTAACATTCTATGGACATTTTTTTTTTTTTTTAAAGGCAAAAGGGTCTGAAGGAAATGGAGCCAAGAAAGTCAGAGCCCAGAATGAAGGGAGTATTTGAAACTTTCAGGCTGGTATGCAGAGGACAAGGAAGGAGTTAGCGAACAGTTAGTTGGTAACCTGCTAGGAGAAACAAGAGAGAAGGGGTGGGGCAGATCTGGGCTCAGAGGAAGGAGGTGGACTAGTTCCCCAGCCAGCTGATGTCTCCAAGGTGGCCACTGGGGACAGAGCCAAGATGGCTGCCCCTCCCCCCAAGGCTCCCTGGGAAGTGGAACTTGAAGGATATTCTGGGAAGGCAAATGGGGGAAGGGAGCCATCGGTAAAAACAAAGTGGATATTCAGCCTAGGTCAAGCCCGCCTCTCTGAGTAGTGGCTCTTTGGATGACAGAAGGGACCAAGAAGGAATTGGAGTCAGGGACTGCTACAGAACTTTCTAGAAGAATCAATAGGCCTTCTCTTTCAGTCCTTCATTTCCCAGCTCATGGAGTCACCATAGGGGGAAGGAAAAGGCCACAGAACCAACTTGTCCTCAGTTACATATAAATGGCTGCTTTTCAGAGGACAAAATATAGATGGGGAGGAAGTTAAAATTCCTGGAGGAACCAGAAGTCAAAGCCAGCAAGAGAAGGACTGAACAGACAAGGAGAAAGTGTAAGAGAGACAAAAGGTACAATGGCTGGAGTTTAAGAATGGGAGAAGGGAATACTATGTTCACTTCTGGGAACCGTGTGGGTGTGTGTGTGTGTGTGTGTGTGTGTGTGTGTGTGTGTGTGTGAGTGGGCATGTTCTATAGCTCTCAGGCAATGGAGCAGAAGTGGGAGCAATAGGGACATCCCACTGACAGCTAAACCAGAGCTAGAAAGACTCCTAACTCCTCTGTGCCCATTTTAGTAGCCCATCTGGCTGAGCTTAGTATGGGAGAAGATGGCAGAATTTGTGGGTAGTCAGAGAATCACAGTGGGCATCAGACTGGTTTGAGAAGTCAAGGAAAAGGGTGTGAGGCTCAGACAAATCATAGCTCTGTTATAAAAAATACCTTTCGGGTGGGTGAGGGAGGGATGGGGCAGGGTCAGAAACATTCCAGAAGCATCCATGGGAGAGAGGTGTGGGCAAGAGGAAGAGGCCTCAGGTTTTGTTGACGCGGAGTTTGAAAGCCACACGGCCAGCGAACTTGTCTCGCTCATCATCTGTGGCAATATTGGCAGCATTGATACGGCATTCCACGTTCACCTCCACGTTGGGGGTCATATTCAGGAACTTCACGGCCACCAGGGGCTGGGTGTAGTTCACCTGAGCCAGAGGATAAGGGCAAGGATCTAAGCCTGGAAGAGCTCAGCCTCCTTCCCAGGAACCTCAGCCTGCTCCTGAAGAAGACATCATCCCAGGCCTCCCACTGGACTTACATGGAACTTCTTGCCATAGTAGGGGAAGTACATGAGGTCAATGTTGCCATTAGCAGGGAACATGACAAAATGGCCGAGATTCTCAGCATCTTCATCTCGCTATGGAGGTGCAGAAAGGCAGGGAATGAACACATTAGGAAAGGTAAGCACCCAGAAGCTAGCCAGACTTCCCTTTGTACTCCCTTTGCCCAAAATTATTCCTATTCTCAAATCTGTTTCCCTTGAGCTGTACGCCTCTGTGTGTGTGCATGTCATCAGAAGGGGGTGGCCTGTCTCTCTCATCCCTGAAGGGGCTAATGACACGGAAGCCTCCTTCTCCATCACTACCCCAAATTTTTACCCCATCCTTGAGAATCAGTCTCTGGAGCAGAGCCAAGAGAGAACAGATAAATAAGATAAGATAAATAAGATAAGTAAGGGCTCAGTGAGGAAAAGGAGCAGGGAGATGGGAGAGAGCCGGAAGTTTCTAGAGGACAGAGTAGGGCCAGCAGGGTTCCAAAGAAAATGCAGGGGTAGTAAATGGTGCTAATAGATCAACAGCTACTAGATGCCTAAAATGAGCTGAGGAACAGGAGCGAGATGTGAGGGAGAGCAGGAGGCATGGGAAATTGGGGAATAAAAAAGGTGCGAGGCTTAGGGGGAAAAGTCAAAGGCCGGGTCTTTGGTGGCAAAAGGATGTGTCTGTGCCCATAGGAGCAGGATTCTGTATCCTAGAAAGCAAGGGGGCTGGGAGGCCCTTCTGGGCGTTCAAGCCACATCCAAACTCTTACCCCTTTGTCCCTATAGTGTTGGGGCCTCTGGGAGCAAAAAAGATAGGGAGAGATGGATGAATCACATAAAAACTGCGAAGGACAAAGGGGTGGACAAGACCCACAAGCTCACCTTCCCAGCACAGGTGACATTCATGCTCTGGTTCGCTCCTGCATAGAAGTTGATGACCTGGAGTGAAGAGGGAGAATGGTGACAGTGGGATAAGTTGTCACACCACAGACACCCAGCCCTCCAGCTACAGAGCTGAGCCACCAGTTGTTCCACCTCTTGTTCTCTCAGCTTATTCAAACTGCCACAACTCTCTTTAATGCCCATTCACCCCCACGAAAGGACACAACAGTCAACAGTTGATGACCCCAGCCCCCGCCTCCATTCTCTGTGGGGAACAAGGTCATGAGTACCCGGTTCATCTTGATGAATACACAAGGCTGCCCAGTGCTGTAACCATAGTAGGTAGGGTCCCCGATGCCGGAGCAGTTTCCCAGCTGGGTCCGGTTGAACTGGCAGGCACGTTTTGGGTAGTTAAGGACCCCATTATCTGGCTGCTCATAATAGCGCCCAGGACGGCAGAAGTCATTCTTCTGGGCTTGGATAGAGTCGTTGTAAGCTAAGAAGTTGGAAGAGAGGCAGTCACAGGCCTGGTGTTCCATTTCCATGGTTCCAAATCCCCTTCCCACAGTCCTCAATTGGCACATAGCCAGCCCCTCACTCACGCTCCAAGAACTTGTTGAGCTTCTGAACATGCTGGTCCCAGCTTTCAGTGTCACTGATGTTAACAATGACATCAAGATTCTCAGTCTTAGGACGAATCATCAAGCCTGTAGTCAACATGGTCAGGAATAGGGGGTATGTATAAGATGAGGGCCACACACAGAGGAAACAAGGTGGACGTGGGGAACTCCAGGGCACGGGATGGAGTGAAACCCGAGATTGTCTTTATAGGAGGGCAGCCTCCAATGAGCATCTGCCACCTCCCCAGATCACAGAGGTCCTAGCTTCAGCACATGGGAAGGAAGGCAGACTTCAAGAAGAACTTTGCAGCACATGGTGATTGGTTCATTGGAACCAAACTCCTGCAAAGAGCTGTCAGTACCTTTGGGAGGCTCGGAGCAACAGCAGTTAAGAGTGGCCAGTAGAAGAAATCTCATCACTCACCTGGTGTAGCTAGGCGGTCCTGGTACTTGGGGGTGTGGTCAGAGACAGTCTGCAACATCACCCACATGGTGAGGGTGAACATGGCCGTGAGGAAGCCATAGAAGACAAGGTAGAAAAGGAGGATGAAGGCTAGGGAGGAGGAAATAGAGTCAGCAGGTTCTAAGTTTCTTGCCATGACCTCCTCTAACACCACTTACCCTCTACACTGGTGTGGGCCTTAGAGCCACAGGATGTCTTAGAGCTGTCCCCAGGGAGCCAAGAGAAAAGAACAGGAAACAGGCAGTATATCCAAGCTTCCAATTATGACTCCCACCCTCCTCTGATTTTAGGGCACAGTGAGGCCCAACCTTGCAAGAGGCCACAACAGACCTAAAGTCTTGTTGCTGGGACAACCCCACGAATAGGCCACCGTCATTTTGGTCCTTCCCCTCCCCCTCCCCACTCCTTCCCCTCCTTCTTCTCCTTCCCTTTAATTACATTTCAAACTTAACCAGGCGTGGTCCTGAGTGGGTACAGCATCTGTCATTGCTGTGATGATACTCATGCTTAAAATTCTCCTAGACCAACATTTTGTGTGTGTGCGTGTGCACACACCCGCATGTGTACTGTTGGGGATGAAACCCAGAACCCTGTGAACACTAAGAGTGCAGTGTTTGTTTTTTTTTTTTTTTTTTTTTTTTTTTTTTTTTTTTTTTTTTTGAGACAGGGTCTTGCTTTCTAGTTTTATCTGGCTTTGAACTCACTATGTAGCCTAGGTTGGCCTTGAACTTAAGGCAATCCTCTTGCCTCAGCCTCTGGAGGGCTGGGATTACATGCATACGCTACACCTGGTTTCTGCAATGAGTTGAAGATGGTATTGACTACCACTCACAGCAAAACCTACCACCCTGCACAGCCAGAACTCTGAGACTCAAATAGCAAGATATCTCTCTCCTGATGCTCTACAGAAGCTGAAGCTTGAAAGCAATTGCAGAAATAAAAGGCCTAAAACGCTGTCCTAGATACAGCCTCTGAGACAGCTGTCAGAACTTCAGCAATCAACTCATACACACATACAGGACCCTGGGCAGAAGCCATGAAAAAACAGAATCCCCCACAGCCTCCCACTGACCCCATCTCTCCCTCACTTCTGTCCTTTGACCTCCTGTTCGCTCTACCTTGGACCTTCCACCTCAGAAGACACTTCCTCAAAGAAACCTTCAGATTCTCCCAAGCATTCAAGGATCCCTGATGATACTGTGTTGGACTCTCCTTGTGGGCCCTAGACCCTAGTGGGTGGACTGATGGGACAGTGTACAATTAGTGTGGAGATATTATAAATTGTGTCACACAGTGTCCCCTATGCCATGACTCCCCAGTTTGACAATCTCTTTTGGAAGAATTTCACCCCTCACCTGCAGCTGTGCCCACGACCAATCCCTGACCACATACAGGTCCCTCTACACCCTGAGTCCCACAAGCCACTGGGGTCCCATGGTCACACACCCGGCCTGATGATATCCCCATCTCATCACACTGGCCACTCCTCCCCAGGCCAGGGATATATGAGTCCAAAATCCAGCCTAGAAAACCTCACAGCATCACCCTCCCCAGCAGCCCCCCACCTACAAAGCAGTTACAGAAGGTTCCAAATGCCTAATGGTGGGATGTAGACAAACGACTTCCGCTGTGAAGAACCCCCCCCCAGCATCCCCCTTCCAGACCCGCCCTCTCATGAATGTTCCCAGGGTCCAGGGGGTGGGCACGAGCTAAAAATAGACGGGGTTGGCGAGCTAGTGGGAGCAAAGGGAGGGAAGGGGTACTCTCGGGAGGTAGGGGGTGACGTGTGCATCGACTGGCCCCAAGCGAGAGCTGGAGCGGCGCGGGCACGCGCACAAAGCCAGCGACCCCAGCCCGAGGGGGCTCCGCGGGGGGCGGGAAGGCGGCAGTGACCTACTTTCTCCGCCTCCGCAGCGGCCAGCAGCGGAGATTAGATCCGCGATTTGGTCCCCTCCCAGTCCAGAGCCTGGCAGGGGGGCCGGATGCCAGGGACCTGGCAGGGGAGTTGGGGCCTCGCCCACGGGACCCTGC